GCGTCACCCTCCATCGGTAGAACTGGTAGAATAAAAGGCAAACAGTAAATTACAAGCTATGGACAGTATAGTTAGCGCTATGAGAGTGCGGCAAGATAATGGACATTATAAAGTCATCACTATTTCAGGTGAAGTCAGCGTGAACGGTTTTGACGGTGGAAATTGCTACTCCACACGATTGAGGACCTCGCGGAGAGGGTTAGTAGACGTGGATAAAATGCAGATTGTTAGGAGCCGTTCCTACCTATTCCCTCGCACGCCGCACGATCGATGCGCCCATAGGCCGTGCGCGCGGTAATTTCGCGCAAGCTGCCAACAGGATTAGTGTTTTATCCAAACATTCGGAGGTGTCGGGAGACCAGTCGAGACTTTAATCCCTCAAGGACACTATCGGAGTGGCCCACTTACAATGCGACCTTGTACAAACTCGTTTGTTCATATTTGACCTTAAAATACACTGTAATATTACGTCAATACACTTCTGTTCATCCGCCCTTGCTGTTGAATTCTCCTTTTCTGATTCGATCGCAGAGTTGTTCGACGGGGGACATAATCGAGGCTAGTGGCATTTGATAACATCAGGTTGCTTAATGTGACCTTTATAGCGCCCTCACTTTCGTGTGGAGTTGGGAGTCAGCACGTAGGATACGCTGAACGTAGCTTTAGCATCACCAACCGTTGTGACCGCAGTCACTTCAGTTTAACTTGACTTTGTCTTGCAAGGGTGGGAAGAGAGTGAGGCAGGCGATGAACACTCACAAGGCTATTGGTCGGAACGTGAACTTTATTACAACAGGGATAATGTGTGCAACGCAAGCCTCGGTTCCTCCTTCAAAGCTACTCATCTGTACTCACCTTCTTACTTGTACTGTGTAAAGCTATGATCATGCCTGATCTAGCCGGCCACCACGATGTCGCGAAGTGTACTCTTCTATGAGTGGCGATCTGCGATAGCAGATCTAGAGAGATCGACTCACTGTCTCCGTCAGCGACGGAGCCAAAAACAGAAAGTTTAAGAAGTACTTCCATGTCTTGCTGAACTGTGCCGAGCCAGGTTTTGGGTATTAGGGCCGGGTGGCGGGCAGCAACACGAGCCGAGGAGATAAATGACGAAAAATATGCCCAAACAATCTCAGTCGTCTTTCTTGGATGGTCTGAGGCGAAGTCGGTATAGTGGTTGAATATCCCCCAAATTTCAAATATTGAGCGCGGTGGCTAACCTAACATGAGACCCTCCTCCACAAA